CCGGCGGGCCAAGGGGAGCCGAGGCAGGATGGAGCGGCCCAGACTGGGGCTACAGAGCAGGAGCCGGAGTCTGGGGGTCAGCAGGACAAGAAGTTCGAGTTGCGCATGAACATGGCCGGCTTCTCCCCGGAGGAGCTGACAGTGAGGCAGGAGGGCAGGAAGGTGACGGTAACGGGGAGGAGTGAGGAACAAAGCCCTGGAGAGGATGGAGACAGCTTCCGGGAGTACCGGGAGCTGCGCAGGGAAGTGCTGCTGCCCGCGGGCCTGGACATGGAGGCTGTGACCTGCTCCCTGTGCTTGGATGGACAGCTCCGCATTGAGGCACCGCGCCTGGCCCTGCAGCCCGCAGAGGGGAAAGCCATTCCCATCAGCATCCAGGCGGGAGAGGGAGCCACACAAGGAGACACTGCTGCCAAGGAGGAGAAGGAGCTGGGAAGGGAAGAGGAAAGTGGCAGCCAGAAGACCTGACCCAGCCAGAGCGGGTAACAGCAAGCCCGCTGCCCTGGCCCAGAGACTGCAGCCATTGCCAGGGTACATCGCTGCTCTGAACCCTGCAATCCCTTCCAAGTACATCATGACCTGGTGTCCCTCCTGGCGCAGTGACTGGGGGCTGTGCTGAGTCTGTAGCCATGTTTGTCTCTGGACAGATCTTTCATATCTGTCACAAACCTGGAGAGTGATGGGGCTTTGGGTTTCAGTACCACTTTATTGCCAAGTGACATTTGTCTGGTGTACTGTATTGCTTATGTGTCATGATGGAAATAAACCTGTTTCCTACATGCAAGTTGCCAGTGGATTTAATGAAATCTATTTCTTGTCCAACTGCCCAGCTCAGTGCTGAGGAGTGGGGAACGTGTCAATGCTTTGTGTGTAAAAATCACTGGTTGAAGGGCATAGTATGGAGAAGATAGAATTACATGTGGCATACGCATACATCATGTCTTAAGCCAGTGTAATTAACCTTTACAGCACCATAAAGAAAGAGAGCAAATAAACAGCATAAACATGTCATATACAGAGAGGCTGAGGGAACTGGGTTCATTTAGTCCACAGAAGAGACGACTGAATGGGGATTTAATAGCAACCTTTAACTACCTGAAGGGGGTTCCAAAGAGGATGGAGCTAAACTGTTCCCAGTGGTGGCAGATGACAGAACAAGGAGCAGTGGTCTCAAGTTGCAGCAAGGGAGGTTTAAATTGCATATTAGGAAAAACTTTCTCACTGGGAGGGTGATGAAGCACTGGTAAAGGTTACCTAGAGAGGTGGTGGAATCTCCATCCTTGGAGGTTTTCAAGTCCTGGCTGGACAAAGCCCCGACTGGGATGAGCTGGTTGGGGTGATCCTGTTTTGAGCAGGGGAGCGGACTGTATAATCTCCAGAGGTCCCTTCTAACCCTAAATTTCTATGATTCTATGAAAAAACTCTCTGGGATATTGTTGCCTCAGGAAAAATCTGTACGAAATCATCCATCTACATCTGCCCTGATGCAGTTTTTTTCCTAGGCAGACAGGTGCTCTCCTGCCACTGTGGCAAGGCTCTGGAATGGTGCACACTGTGTGCACTCCTAGATATACTCCTTAACAGTCTGCCTTTTTTCCCTAGTGTAATTCAGCATTGTTCAACCTGTGGGTTGCAACCCAACAATGGGTTGTAAGAATATATGAAAGGGTTACAAACAAATTTCAAAACGGAAAAACACAGGAAACTGTGGCTTTTCCCTTGCAGGCTGGCAGAGTTCCAGCCAGCCAGGGGCTGCTTGCCCCCCCGGCATAGCCAACACCCCTCTGCCCCACACACGGTGGGGGACTGGGGCCTGGGGGTGTGGGGCAGCAGGTCAGGTCTGGCCACTGATTTATACAAATGGGTCCTGGTTCAAAAAAGGTTGAGAACCGCTGGCATAATTTACATTGCTGCACATAACTGCTGTACACCATACTAGCATACGTGTGTCAGGTCTGGGTCCTTACAATGGTAGGTTACTATGTTCTGGATGAGTGTCCCAATACTCTTAGGGAAATAAATGTGACCTATGGCCTGGACTTCTGAAGGAGACAGTTGTGAAGGCTGGAAGATAAGAGCCCAATAACTTCCTGCCCGTGGCAGGGGACTGGACTTAATGATCTGACAGGTACCTTCTAGGCCTTCGATTCTATGATATTACACCATGCTGTAAAAGTGTAACAGCCAGGACTTGTGAGGAGAGCTCCTAAGAAGAGGTGTCCTATACAGGGCTGAGGGTACTTGTGCCAGAAAACTTCCCTGCAATTACAAAGGGGGTTGTAAGGCAAATGTTGAGAGAAGGACAGAGGGACGTCAGCACCCACTCTAGCAATGTCTTCCTGATGGAAAAACCCTCTCCTGACACCCTGGAGCCTCTCCTTGTGTTCCTTTCCTTTTTGTATTGTCAACTCTTATGATGTTGCCAGACTTTGCATTAAGACTCGTGCTTCTCTTCATGGCCCTGCTGCTTGGATGAGGGAAGTTTCTACCTTTCATTACAAACAAAAAGTAAGTTTTTAGTCCTAAAGATGCAAACAAAAGCTGGAAAGGTGTACTCAAGTGCTCAAAACAGAGGCCAATGGAAAAGACTGTGCCCTTCTAAAAATCTCAGCTGGGGGAGCCTAACGTGGTCCATTAGTTGGGTGACAAGATGGAGGTGGGTTAGAGCAGGGGCACTCAGCCCCTGGCCTGTGGCCCAGAATGGGTCCATGAAGCCTGTGGGGCTCCATACAGGTCCAGAACTTTATCCGCGGGTGGACGCAAGTCAGCAGGAGTCATGATAATTCACACATCCATCAATCCCCTGCCAACAAACTTCCAAGCTTCACAGGCCAGGTGACATAGCCTTGCACATTGGATCCCACTGGCATGTGCAGGGCTGAAGCAGTGGAGACAGAGCTGGCACTTGTGGGGCTGAGCCAGGGCAGCAGGCCTGATCTGGCTTGTGCAGGGTAGAGCTGGGACATTGTTGCCCAATCTGGTGTGGGCAGGGCTGGTAGTGGGGAATGGGCTTTGGCTGGTGCATGTGGGACTGGGGCAGTAGACTGCATTCATTAAAGGGCCATGGTCACAATGTGGGTCATGGACTGGATCTGGCCCATGGGCCCACCGTGTGCCAGTCGTCTGGCCCATAGGGCTAAAAGCTCAGGCACCAGTGGGTTAGAGTGCTGGTCCTGGTTAGCGCTCTTTCCTGACTGGGGCAGGCTGTCGGACTCGATGATCTCATCGGTCCCTTCCAACCCTAACATCTAGGAAACTATGAAATCTTAAGGTTCAAGGCAGCCTCTCTGAGACCCAAGGCCTCCCTTGGAAACTGCCAACTCCTGGTTTTCACTTGTTCCTTGGATGATGGAAATATACCCGTGCAATTGTTTCATTGCTGAGAATATGGACTGCTCTCAAGAGGGCAGATTGCCTCTAGCAGGCTGCTGTGTTCAAGCTCATTGGTGGTGGTGGTGGTAGTCCTGTCCAGTCCTTTCTCTAGGGTCTCTTGAGTGTGTGTTGACAAAGTTTTATAGAAGTAGGACCATAAGAAGGACAAGAAGTCCTCAATGGCAAAGCAGGCGCAGGAAGGCTGTGGCCCCAATGGCTGTGAAGGTAGAAGAAGGCTGCAAAAGAGAAGTGACCCCAGTCATCGTGGTTTGCCATGCCACAGAACCTGGCCACCAACCACCAAGATCGTGTGGACCCGACTGCACACCGGAGTCCCCGCACTAAACATGCCACGTGCAGGCTTTTGTCAGGGCCAAAAGCCCTGTGGTGATGGAGGATTGGTGACAGGGCCAGGGCTCTGATACCTGGAGGCCCCCAGCCAAGAATCTGCACCTAGGTGGTGGATGCACGATAGTTGTCGGGCACCTGTGTTGGGACAGGGGTGTCCTTCGGCAGCTGTACCACCAGCTGAAGGCTGAGGTCCAGTGATGCATGTGTGACATGAAGAACAACTGGTGGGTGGAGAAGGCACATGTGATCCAGGGCTACGCCAACCAGCATGACATGCATAACTTCTTGCATGCTACCAAGACAACCTACGAACCGTGCTGCATTGAAAAAAAAAAACCCTCCGATCACAGGGCAGCTCCTCAAGGATGAGGAAATGTAGGGCCTCAGGAAGTTGTCTAGCTCCACCCACTGCTCAAGGCAGGATCATCCCTACCCAAACTGTCCTATACAAGCGCTTGTCTAAGCTTTTCCTAAAATTGCACAAACAACTCTGTTGCACAGCTGCAAGGCATGTGGTGTGAAGCCATCCTAGCACTGACCATGATGTGATGGGGCCTCCAGCTGGGGCATCCTACAGCTTCATTCATCCCTAATGTCCCACCTGCCTCCTTCCTTCCAGGGAGTCTTAAACTTTGTCCTGTACAAGTTCAGCCACCTGCTGCCGAAGGAGCAGCAGACTATGTATGAGCTCTCCACAATGTTCTTCCAATTTCAGCAGCACTCACAGAATGACAATGTCTCCACCTACAAAGTGAACTACACCAGGTGAGTGCTGGAGTTGTGGGGTGTGTGGGGTAGGGGGGCTGAAAGGGGCAGTCGGTTCCTGTGTCAGGGCAGAGCAGGGAGGAGTCGTCATCACAGACCTTGGGTGTGCTCAGTGCTTGTCAGTGATCAGTGGGACACTTTGCTCTGGGGCTCTTTGCTCCTCCATAACCCTGGAGCCTGAGTAGGCCCTGTCGGAGGCTTCACTGACTTTCCATCCCTGGCAGAAGCACTGCAGCCTGGGAACTATGAGACATCTTGTTCCCCTGGGCTGCATCATCTGCTGTAGTCCCAGCGTCCTTTGTCCTGGTTCTTGCTACATTGCCAGCTGTGAGCCCTGCAAACCCTGAGAATCTGCTGATCAGACTCCTTGACAATGGACGCAAATCCCACTGCAATCTCATCTCTACGCCTAAAGGCTCAGAGCTTTGTGTCCTCACAGCACCCATGGCAAAGGCTTGCTGGCCTCTTGAGAGTCAACAACCTTGCTGGGTGGCATTAAATGTCCTAATTTTTTTTAACAGGTTGTCCAGCTCTTTAGTGCTAGGGTGTTGCATGGAGGGGGTGGGGTGATTTGGGTGGGTGAGGATTCACAAGCTGATACATCTGTGTCCTTGGTTGAGAGCCAAGAGGGTTTGGATGTGTCCAGCACTCTGAAGGGGAAGGGAAACAGGATCACAGAAAAGTAGGACTAGAAGAGACCTCTGGAAGTCATCTAGTCCAGCCACCTGCTAGAGGCAGTGTCGTTCCTGTCGAGACAACACCATGCAAGTCCTTGCCTATGCCTAACCTATTCCTAAATGTGCACAATCCACCCCATCGCGCAAGGATAGCTATTGCCTAAAGACACCCAAAGCACCTTAACTTGCCATGGGTAAAACACGGGGATGAGGATTGTCAGTGTCCCACTGCTACAAGAGTTGGTACAATGCACTCCAGCACAGGGCAGGCCTGGTCTGTGCTGCTTTGCCCTGGTCCAGGTGGCCTGAGCTGCCTCAAAGCCAGTGTGGGAGTGTGTGTAATGCTGGCTCTTCCTGAGGCTGGGCAATAGGCCCACTGGCATCTCTCCCCAGACTCTCCCTGCTCTGGGCTTGAGTGGAAGTGTGGGGTAGCCTCCTCAGCTGCTTGGGATTCCTGTCTGAGATGCTGCCTGTGGCTTGTAGCCAGCATCTGGCTGTTCTGTGCTTGGCAGCCTGGGGCTCTGTGGCACCTGCCTGAGGGGCGTATGCATGTGGCTGTCTCTGTCTGTCTTCCCAGGGATATGGGACACACTTGAAGAACCACCTGAAGGAGTATCACATCAAGCACAACATCCTGTATTTCCTGACCTGCACTGATGAGTACACCGTCGGCTCCTGCAACTAGTAGGTCCAGCTTCCACCCCCCCTCCCCCACTTCATTGCCCAGCACCTCTCCTCCACATCAAATATAACATCATCATTACAACTGTAATGCGCAATATATCTGTTGTCAGCTGGGTGCCCAGCAGGGCGCACAGCATGCTTCTGAACGACCTTTGCCCCCAGAAACTTTCCTGCTTGGATGATCATCCTGCCCCATTGGGAGGCAGGGTTGTGTAGTGCAGCAGACACTGGCCTGGGACTTGGGGGACCTAATATGTTCTCAGCTCTGCTTCTGCCCTTGGCCAATCCACTGCTGTACTTGCTGCCTCAGTTTCCCACTCTTACCCATGGATTTTAAGTACTTGAGTCAGGGATTATTTCTCACTACGTCTGTACAATGCCTGGCACAGGGGGCCTCATCCTCAGGCCTGGGGCTGCTGCAGGATTATCATTCCTTTTGGAGGCTTGGATGATGCTTTATCCTGGGGAACTAGCTCCCACTGAGTGGAGTTTGGCCACTTGCCCCAAAGTGCAGCAGAGCTCGTGTTACTCATGGCCTGGGCAGGCAACAATGCTGAACACATGTTGATAAGAAACATACAGAGCAGCCACTGACCTCCCATTGCCTTTGCTGGGTAACACTTTCTCTGCCAGCTGCAGTAATAAAGGGTTCTTAAGCTACAGCTGGAGGATCCCCTGACTCATTCCAGCTGGCCAGTTTGGTTCAGGTAACAGGCACTGTTATTTTGGCACAAGAGTAATCCCTGAGCCATCAGTCTCTTAAAAATGGAAGATGGCATCTCGAGGTTGTGAAAGATGCAGAGAATTCTGGATGGGGCCAGGCCTGGCCAGGATGGGGATAAAAGCTGCTGGCTCCCACCAGCCGAGCAGAAGGGCTCCAGCACCACTGGGGAGGACTCAGTCCCAGCGCCCTTAGCCAGTCGCAGAAGCAGAGATGCTGTGCCGCCTGCACCTCCAGCCGCCCTCCCATAGCACCCTGGCTCCCTGGGTGAGCCCTGTGCACACACTGTGGCCTCAACCCAGCGTCCTCTTTGCTGAGCTGGAGCAGGAGGTCCGATGGGAAATGGAGCCCAGGAGTTTATGAGCAGTTTCCAGCAGCTCTTGGCAGGGGGAGGGAGCAGTAGCCCCATCAGAGAGCGAGAGCAGAGCACCAGCGTGGCACCACCCCAGGGAGTGGATGGGGCCTTCACCATGTGCCAGGATGTCAGGGGATTTGACCCCAATGACCTAATGGTGAAGCTGGTGGGCAGGAATGTGCTGCTGACAGGTAAGGAGACGCAGAGTGAGGACAGTAAAGGCTCCTTCTCCTACAAGTACGAGGTGTTCAAGCAGGAGTGGGATGTGCCTGAGGGCGTGGACCCTGACGGCCTGACCTGCTCCATCTCCAGTTAGGGCCAGCTGTGTATCAAAGCCCCGTGCCAGGCACTGATGCCCACCCTCAAGAGGAGTGTGCCCTTTCAGATCACCTGGGTGGTCAGTGCAGAAGCAGAAGCTTTGCTGGGCTCTGAGGAGGGGGCCAATGGCCTAGCCAAGGCATGACAGGGACTGAAAACTGACAGCTGTCACCCAGGCTGGAGAGCAGAGGGAGTAGTGTCCCAGAGCAGCAGGAGAGCTGAGACTTATGCAGGCCCAGTGGTTGTGGGACGGTGTCAGGGACTAACTGCCCTTGAGATTTGTATCATGTCATTTCTTTTAACGTGAAATAAATGGGTTTGTCTTTTCCATGTGTTGCTTCTGCCTTTGTGAGCTCACTGCATCCCAGTTTCTCCCTGTGCTCCTGTTTTTCTTTTCCCAAGGAGGGCTAATGGCTTCATGGTTTTGGGGTGCAGGGCTGGGAGTCAGGGCAGCCTGATCCAATTCCTGTGTGTGCTCTGGACTCCCTTTGTGACCACAAGCATCCCCATCCTGTTGGGCCTCCATTCTTGTCTGTAGAAAGCAATAATATCAGTGATCTGCTGAGAAGCACTGAGGACTGTGGGAGATTGGGGGAAGCGTAGGTGCTCTGGCAATGCAAGGCTATAATGGAGCAATCTAAGGCCCTGCCCCGTAGCCAGGCTGCAACAGCTTCTGTGAGGTGCAGAAGTTGCAGAAAATGTTCTGCTGCCGACCCCTCAGTATCCTTGCTCCTTAAGTTCAGCGGATGCAGATCAGAGCTTTGGGGCCTCCTCCTGGCTGTCCTCCAGGAACTGGGCATGTTGCTTGCCCTTACAGCTCCAGACTGAGGAGGGAGCAGAGCTTGACTCGCAGCATGGTGACAGAAGCTGCAGAGCAGTGTTTTCAAGCAGCGGGTGCATCTGATGGGCGCAGCACTGCACACTGTGGGGCCCTATCTGTCACAGGTGCTGAATGCCGCCCATCACCTCTACCTGCTGTTGCCAAACAAACTGCTCCGGGTGCTTGGAAAGCTCTTCCCTGGGGAAAGCAGAGTGGGCCTGCACTATAGAGCCTGCGCTGCTGAAGTCCTCTCAAGCACCCGCTGTTCATAAACAAGCCCCTGTCCCTGACTGGCCTAAGCTCAGCCAACTTTGTCATCTTCCTCTAAATAGGGAGCTGTGCTGTAAAGCCAAGGAACAATGACAGGGTAGGAAGTGGGGACCAGGCAGCACGGTGCCTTTTTAACCCTGGCGTCTCCAGAGTTGATGTTAGAAAACACATTTTCTGCCCAGTGGATTTTTTACAACACAAGCTCTGAAAGGATGGTGATAACAGGGACAGGGTGGGAGAGGGTGTCAGGAGCTGGGCAAAAGCCGCTCAATCAAAGAGACTTAAGAAGCAATCTTCCGTATCTGAACAGCTGTGCAGTCACCATTTATTGGAACAGTGTCCTGCTGACTGAGCCAATGGCAGCAGATCCTGGCCTTGGCCTCCTGCTACTTGTAAACAGAGCTAGCGAGATAGACAGCAAGATCCAAACCTGAGTTCATAGCCCTGTACTATTTTTTTCCCTATGGGCCAAAGACCTATTTGGAAGCTGAGCCTGGCAGTTACAGTAGCGACTGCACTGCTGAGAAAGATTTCTCATCAGAGAGAAGACGCAAACGGGAGTGTTACACAAAGTCGCTGCTTAGTGCAGGGATGTAAGCCAAGAAGGCTGCTGTCTGCCAAGCATCTAGGGACCAGCTCAGCAGTCTGCCTGGCATAGATGTGAGAGGCAACGGTTGATGCCAGCTGCTGACCTGGCTGGACCATGGGGTCTTTGTGAGCAAGAACGTCAGCACCAGACCCTAAGAAGCAAAAACTCCAAGCCGGCCCTGGATGTGCCTGGAGACACAGAGTCTTGAGCATGGGTCTTATGTGCATGTTCCTTGCAGCATTCATCTCAAATGCCCTGCTGTTGTCAGCTGATGCAACTACGAGAGCCAGGGCAGCTATGTGAGTGAACATGCCAATGATGTGTGCAGGCACATTGGTACGTGCATGAGCCCATGTTCCTTCAAGTGAGCCTGCATACGCCAATTGGATGTTGGGTGTCCTATGAGTGTTTCCTGAAGCAATGTCTGACTCAGGAGTAAATGGGCCCTCAGAAGAGCCTCTGCGTCACTGCCTAAGCATTTGGGGGCCAACATATTTAGCACAGCTGCCACAGATAAAGCCCCATGGCCCTCCCCAAGTGTCAGTCCTATCCCCTTGCGCTGCCTAATTTGCTGCTCTTTCTGCTTCTTTTCCCATGCTCCGTACCTGATCTGCTGCTCTGCTTTCTGCTTTATCTGCACTGTGCTGACTGTCCCTTGCTCCATCTGCTTAAAGACACACAGCACATGCTTGTGCCACTTGAGGCACCCATGTTGCAGGTTGGCCACCCCTGTCCTAAACTGATCAATCCTTATCAAGTGAGCGGCTCCACTGCAATCCAGTGGACCACTCATGTGACTCAGACTTACAGGCCTGGGCCCTGTTGCTGGAAGGGATTGCTCCCAGGCTAGAGAATTTTACTTTGAAAGTGTATGCAAATGTAGACAGTGACAAAATACAGGTCCCGAGGTCCCTAGATAGTGTGGGCGATGCTCAGTCCTCAGGGGACCAGTAACAAAAGTGACCACAGTCACAGATGTTCCGTGTTTCTTTGGAAATAAAAAAAACACAGTATCCAGTTAATCCACTGCCAACTACAATGTGGGAAACACGGGTTGATTTCCACCAATGACACAAACAAGACATTTAGGAAAAATCACCGTCACCTAGCCAAGATAAATGTCAAGAAACAAGAAATACTGAAACCTAAAGCCCCGTTCCTCTCCAGGTTGGGCACAGGTATAAGAGTTATGTCCAGAGTCCAACATGGCCAAGACTCAACTAGTCACTGCTCCAGGAGGGACTCCTAGGCATGATGTACTCGGCTGGGATCACAGGCCTGGGGCAGGGATACAATCTCTGGGCCCGAGCAGCGGGCTCATTGTCACTCCCTCTGGCTGGGTCAGGACTCCTGGCTGCTGCTCCCCACCTCCCTTCCCAGGTCCTTCTCCTCCTTGGCAGCAGTGTCTCCTTCTCTGGCTCCCTCTCCTGCCTGGATGCTGATGGGAATGGCTTTCCCCTCTGCGGGCTGCAGGGCCAGGCGCGGTGCCTCAATACGGAGCTGTCCATCCGAGCACAGGGAGCACGTCACAGCCTCCACATCCAGGCCCATGGGCAGCAGCATTTCCCTGTGCAGCTCCCGGTATTCCTGGAAGCTGCCTCCATCCTCTCCAGCGCTCTGCTTCTCACGCCTCCCTGTCACCGTCAACTTCCTGCCCTCCTGCCTCACTGTCAGCTCCTCCGGCGAGAAGCCGGCCACGTCCACGCGCAGCTTGAACTTCTTGTCCTGCCAACCCCCAGACTCCGGCTCCTGCTCTGTGGCCCCAGCCTGGGCCGCTCCATCCTGCCTCGGCTCCCCTTGGCCCGCAGGCTCCAACCACAGGAGCGGCTTGGCG